AAATATATTCAAGTCCGAGCACTCAAATGATGGGGGCTTCGGATGTTCGAATATTTGAATCAAATAATTGGAGGTGACAGAATATTCGACTACTCGAGTAACCAAATATTTGCGTTTCTCCGAATATTCGACTATTTTATACAATGAAGATTTTTGTTTCACGAATAGTCCACTTCTCGAATGTTTGATTATTTAATTTATTTAAAAACGAATGTTTGGTTTTAACTGATGTACATTATTGCAAGCGATGGGGTACCTTCAATGATCCACCAGATGCGAACTCTAGTATGATCATAATCGGTTCTTCTTGTGGTGCCACACCAAAAAAACGCACTATATTCGGATGATCAAAACGGCGCATAAGTTTTGCTTCCTAAATAATTCGGTATACTTGGACTACATCCCTTCCCTATGTCATACCTCAAAAAATGCCGATAATTGCGTTTTGGTTACTTTAGTGCCTTTGATCACTTTTACGGCAACTTCTATTTCTTCTCCAGTTTTAAGCTTTAACTTTCCCAAGTTCACCTCTCCAAACGCGCCGTCTGAACAAACTCGAGATGAGTTTCTGTGATAATCATAGGTCTTAAAAATGCTATTGATTACGTCCAAGTTTCTTCAGAATTGCAATGCTTTCATGGAGAAAATAATAATCAGGACGCGGTATTGGGGTTCTTAAGATCACTCCGGACGGAGGTATCGGCTTTGCCGTTTGAACAAGTTCATCTACGAGTTCTTTTAACGAAGGTTTTGATAGCTCAAACATGATTTTAGTAGGGTTATTTGCTGTAATGATTTCCCAGCAAAGTTCTGTGCTCACATTTTTCAAAGTCCATACTCCATTTGAATATCCTATAGGTACATGTTTTGTATCCACAAGGTGCTTCACCGATATACAATATGCAACTTGTCTTGCTACCGTTGTTTTTCGAACCAAGTAATCTCCTTGAATCTAAATTGCACTGTTTGATCCAACTTTTCTCGAAACATGCAACAGCCGATAAACCTTTAACATATCTTCGACTTCCTTCCGAGGAATCATCCCATGGTACCATATGTTCTCTGTTAGCGCTTTATCTAATTGCTGAAACAAGCACTCATACCAAGGTGATGCTACATATCGAATAAGAATCTTCTGTTCCTTAAACCTTAAAAGCTGATTCTTTTTGTTGTGGTTGTTGTTCCACATTTGAGGCGATCTGAGGACCAGGTTGTTGTGGTGGCTAAATTTTTCAAATTTAAAGTGCTTCGCAAGTTTTATCAAAGAAGTAGAATGTTCATATAAGCTACTCTTACAGGTTTTCCCTCCTTATCTTTCTTAGATTTTTCGGAAATTTCGGGTATTTTAGGCGCCCTATTCCTAAATGAGTTCTGCATTAACACTTTAGGTGTTATCTTCTTTGAAATGTGATTACCCGCCACAAGCTTCTAGTCCCTTATTATACAGGAAAGAAAAACTTAAAAAGGACTTGTCTGTCCGTCAAGGAGTGGTATTCTCGCAATCATACCTGAGCGATTTTGTAGAATGAGAAAGCCGCTTCTTTATTGATTTACTCATGTTTTGAAACTGAACGAAAATGCATTTATGTTGTCAAATTTCTTCTCCATGATGGGTTTTTTAAAATATTTCTGCTCATTTATGCCCCATTCAATTCATCTCACTTCGTCGTTAATGAATTCCTTCAAAAAATCGCTAGAATATGGTGCAAACAATCCTTCAAGTACTGATGGGTTCTGGGTTCGGTTTAATCAGAAATTTTTATGCAGAAAAGCAAAATAAAAGGAGCAAAAAATTGGTCAACATAAAAATCAACTTTGAGACCTTCCAGTTTGATGCATGCCAGGTAGTCAATCCCTTGTCTGTAAGTATGGAAAAGACGCATTCTTCCGTGCGCTGAATTTTACTGGCCTTCGAACTCCGTAAATGTTGATGTTTTGCATTTTATTGGTTCGAAATCCTACAGATTTTCAAAATGAGCTCGTCGTGAGCTTAAGATGGTGACAGCAATCTGTTAGGAGATGCTTTTCATAGCATTAAGTGCCAAGTTAGGATGAGAGAATAGATTTGGCATAAAATTATGGGAAGTTTTGATTTGTCATCCTTTCTATTCAGCTCACAATTTGCTTCATTTGTTCAATTTAAACATATCTTACATTAGATAACGTATTGTAAATAATAGTGCACAAATTTGTCGGCTTCTTTGGGGACTAGAGATAAAAGGTTTTCAACCCCGTAGCACCAGAGCATTCAAAGCGAGTGGGGTGGGAGCGTACAAAACAACCGAGAATGTTGTGACCAGCACAACTTTGGCGGTTGTATGACATCCAAATGCAGAAGTCTCCCTATACAAAATTTTTTTTTT